AAAAAACACGCATTTTCGTATCAACAGCTTCAGCGAAACTATTAAATGTTTGAGTAGAAAATTTGTCTCCTCTGAATAAAGAATCGAGGTTCAGAAAACTGAACCGCGCCCAGGTTCGTGTCACAAACCGTGGGAGTGCATAAAATGAAAGCATCATCTTGAGTCATTGTATCAATAAAATATAAGATATTCAACTTTTTGTCAATCTGATGACTGTTATGAACAGGAAACACGATGTTGATCGCATCAATTTGTTTCTGCGTTTACATTTTGTCACACCATTATTCTTCACAAGCAAAGGTGGGTTGATGTTCTTTTACTAAAAAGAGCAACTTTCTACTTTCACATTTTCTCTGCAATTTTCTGCCCTGAAAAAACAACAACAAAAATAAACTAAAACGTGTTTTTTGTCATGAAAGCAGCTTTAGCAAAAGCATTCAATACTTTTGCAGAAACGTTGTCTCTTCTGAATGAAGAATCAAATGAATATCAGTTTTCTAAAACCTGATGCTCAGGTGTGTGTCACAAACCGTGGGAGTACAGAAAGTAAGATAAATATCCTAAACCACCAGTAAAATTGAAAGTAAATGACGCTATTTTCCGCTTTTTTCCACAAAAGTACATCAAACGTATGTGTTTCATAAAAATTTTTTTTAAGAAAACCAAATTCCAGATGTTGATAAATAGCTTGAATGGAAGAAATCAAGCTCTCGATGCCAATCTGAGTATATACATGTTGCAAATAGAAAATAATGTACAATTGTTTCTACCTTTGCATTTCATGAAATCATTATTCTTCACATAAAGCAAATATGTGTTCTAGTGTCCTGTTGGCTTTCACCTTCAGGAGCAACTCAAACTTTCTCAATTTATCCTCAATTCTATGTCCTGAAAAAAACTGAAAGAAAAACGTGCTTCTTTTCATGTCAACAGCTGTCTGGCAAAATCATTGAATGCTTTATCAGAAACATTGTCTGCTCTGAATCAGGAGTTCAGAGAACTGACCACATGCCCAGGTCAGTGCCACAACCCATGGGAGTACAAAAACTGAAAGGAAATTCTTGTGCCACCAATAGAATAGAAGGAATTATGCTCTCTGCCAATGTGCAGACTGTTATATGAACATGAACCTGCATATTAATAACATGAATCTGTCTCTGAATTTGTATTTCATGACATTATCCAGCATCACAATCAAAAGTTAATTTACAATGCTTTTTTCTCTCAAAAAGGCAACTCATTAAATTTTCACAATGTCTCCCAATTGTCTACCCTGAAAAAAAAATCATTTTTCACATCAGAAGCAGTTTTAGGAAAACCATTGAATGTTGCAGCAGAAACTTTGTCTCCTCTGATTGAAGAATCAGGGGTTCAGAAAACTGACCCTTGCCCAGGTCAGTGTCACAACCCCTGGAAGTACAGAAAATTAAAGGAGAATTTTACACAAACAGTAAAATTGTAAGTAAATAACTCTCTTTTCCGCATGTTTTTTCAATGTCTAATAGAATCAAGATGATGTAACTTCAATAACATCTTTAAAACAAGAACCAAATTTCAGACATCAATAAATAATAAAGTTTGAACATATACAGCATGAGAAATTCAGCTTTTTGCCAATCTGAGGATTTTGTTGCACATGAACCACCCTTTTATTCTTCCATCTGTTTCTGCGTTTGCAATTTATAATATCATCAATCACAAGTTAGTCCACTGTTTTCTCTTTTTCTCTCAAAAAAGGGACAACCTCGTCAAATTTTCAAAATTTCTCCTCAATTTATCTGTCTCAAAGACATACTTTTATTTTCAAGTCAGCAGCTGTCCATTTCAAAGCCATTGAATGCTTCAGCAGAAATTTCGTTTCCCCCTGAATATAAAGAATCGGGGTACAGAAAACTGACCCCCCGCCCAGGTCAGTGTCACAACCCGTGGGAGTACAGAAAATGAAAGGAATAAAAAAAAATCTTACCCCACCAAACATCATCTCTCTGGAGCCCACGCATCACATCACACTCCCACACGGACAAATTCATCCATCCAACCCCACAAAAAGACAATGGGGAGCTCGAAACTGGGGAAAGCAAAATACAAAGAGAGCAATAAAAAAACACAATTGTTAAATATATAAAATAAAAATTCTTGCATATAAACCTTGGCAGGAATGGGAGAGACAAAAAAAAATCTGGCCAGCGTTGGTGTTGGGAGGAGCAAGAGTACTTTGATGGAATCACTCAGCCAACCTGATGCTGCTGCTGCGAAAAAAAGGGGGGTGTCAAAGTAAAAATAAATAAATGAAGTAATTATAGTTCGAAGAAAAAAGAAACAGGAAACGATGTGAGCGAAACAGGATCTCAAGGATCTTTTCTCAGCGGCACGTGCTGGCAATTGAAAAAATACTCGCTTCATTATTAGCTTTATTCTGCAAAACGCGGCCACAACATAAAATAAAATGACCCCTTTTTTTCCTTCAAATTAATAACATAAAGGCGAAGTAATTTCAAAAGGAAACGTATTTTCCATGGTTTATGGGACGAAAGCCTTGACCTCAGTTATGGTAGACGATTTGTGCTCCATTTATATTAGGTGCGTAAAGTCTGAACGTTTGAAGGTCGGTGGAAAGAAAAGTTTTACTAGTTTTTCTGGACAAAAAAAAAATCCCTTTGGAAAATTATCCATAAAATTTAAATGCTCAACCCTGTTTCGACTTCTCAAGGGTGGATTTTTTTTGGCTGGAAAATCAGGAATTCGATTTAGATCAGTGCTGAAAATTGAGAAAATCTGCGAAGTAATTTTTTCAACTTCGAAAAAAATTGATCAAAAATACTGTAGCATCTCAACCACATTTTTTATGCTCGATTTTCCATATTTTCTTGATACTTTCAATCACCTTTTAAAGAGTACCATTATGCAGAAATGAACTTGAGTTTAAACTCTGAAATGAAGGAAACGAAAACATTCCATTGCTTGTCCGGAGAAAAAATGTAATGTTGAAATAATTATTTGGAAAATTATTCATAAAATTTAAATACTCAACCCTGTTTCGACTTCTCAAGGGTAGATTTTTTTTGCTGGAAAATCAGGAATTTGATTTAGATCAGTGCTGAAAATTGAGAAAATCTGCGAAGTTTTTTTTCAACTGCGAAAAGTATTGATAAAAAATACTGTAGGATCTCACCACCTTTTTAATGTTCGGATTTCCATATTTCTTTGATACTGCCAATCACCTTTTAAAGAGTACCATTGTGCAGAAATGGACTTCAGTTCCAATTCTGAAACAACGGATGACACAAAAGCATTCAATCTTTGGTCCAGAGAAAAAAATTTCATGTTGAAAAAGTTATTCGACAAATTGTCCACAAAACATAAATACTCAACCCTTTGTGAACTTTCCAAGACTGGATGTTTTACTTCACGAGGAAAATCGTAATTTCGCGTAATATCAGCGCAAAAAATGCAGAAAATCTCCGATATAATGTTTTTAGATGCGAAAAGCCTTGATCGAAAATGGTGTAATATCTAAACCCTTGTTTTATGCTCGAGTTCTCGTTTTTTTTTTAACTTTCAATCATCTTTTAAAGTGTTCTATTATGCAAAAATGAAGTTGTGTTGAAATTCTGACATGAAGGACACGAAAGCATTCAATTCATGGTCCGGAGGAAAATATTAATGGAGTAGAAATTATTTGAAAAATTGTCCATAAAATTCAAATTGCTCAACCCTGTGTAGAGTTCTGAAGAGTGGATGTTTGACTGCTCCAAAAACATAATTTCGCGTTTAAAAAATCGAGAAAATCTACGAAGTATAGTATTTTGAAATGCGGAAAGCCTCAATTAAAAAGATCTGAAGCCCACTTTTGATATCCTCATTTTGGCGTGTTCTTGAAAATCTAAAT